TTATTGAAGTAAATATTCTTCATTATAAGTATATGCTTATAATTAAATTACTGTTAACTTAATAATTTTTGTTTTTATCCTCCATCTTTAAGTGAGTGCTAGTCTAATTGACAAGTCTTAGCCTAGAGCGTCGCTCCCACATTCAACAATTCTTTATTCAATTTACGACATTTTACTACTTTTCAATAAACTTTCACTGCGTTGGTACGTTGTCAATTTTTTTTTATTTTAACATTTATTGAACGAAATTGAAATTCATAAACGCACTATCTTTTTTATTCTTTCATTTAATTTCAATTTTAATTTTCACCTTCAGTAAGTCTAAAGATTATTAAGTCTGAATATATTTTCACTTTGGATTTGGACACTTTGATCATGCTTTTAAGTCATTGCCAAAGGAAATATCATCATAAAAGTGACATTAAAATTGATTATGAATTTTGAATAAAAAACAAAATATATAAATTAAGACAAAAAATAAAAATAGTTATAAATTTTAATAAAATTTAACTAGGATGCCGAATTACGTCAATAGAAAGTATTAGCTTCATAGGTGTTATAACTTATTTAAGCTACAGGAAAGATATTATTTAAGCTACGTTTGACGGTAATAAAGGTCTTCCACTTAAAATAATATCTATTTATTATTCATATATGTTAGAATAATTTTTAATAATATTTCGAAAAAGTGAATTATGATTATTTCTAAATATGCTCAGAAATAAAATTAAAATGTTGATTAAATGTTTATATCCCAACATACTTAACGCTGTATCATATATAGTTAAATGAAAAATATTATATGGAGAGCCTCACTTTTTATAATCTACCATGCGATGCTTTATTAGAGATTAAAATTTCATAACGTATAATAAAAAGCTTAAAAACATTATAAGACTTGGCACTAAGTACAATATGTCAACTGTTATGTTTGGACTATTGTACTTAAAACAACTCGACAATTATGAGGTGTAATTTTTCATATAAAATCCATACTAAATCTATGTAAAAATATGCTAACGAGATTCGACTATTTTTAAATATGTTAACATAATATATCACAATAACAAAAGTTATCTAAGTTCGTTAATACTGAACAAAAGATATTTTAGGTCGCAGTGCATGTATAGCCTATCTATAATAATCGTTAGTATTTATATATTAATTTCTAACTGCAAACTATATTTCACAGGAATAAAAATAATAAATGCTCTCAGCTGAATGAAAACAATGTACAACACTGGTTCGTAAGCATCACAGAAGCATGAAAGTGATGGCAGAAGGCCATCAGCAAAACTAAAATGTAGCAGTTCATGTGGGGTATTTACCATAGAGCAGGTCATCCAATATTAAACTAGCATATGATTTGTTTTTAAATCATACGATTCTTTTTGGATTTGAAAATAATTCAATTATTTTTGTGACCTAAGGAAGAATCATTAATTTCAGTTTTATAATAAATAAATCCTAATATATAGTAGATCGGTTAAAAATAACATGATTCATGTGTTAAAATTCTTTGGTTATATATATTAAAATATATATTTTATCATAAAAATAAAATCTGGTAAAATTTAAAATTTTTTATGTTGCAAAATTTTAAATATATAGCAATAAATATTATAACACAAAAAAAATTATGTTTAAAAAATACTTTTAAATTTTTTTATTCACATCTGATTTATGTATTATTTTTATAATTTATTGTTTTAATGACGAAATTTATTTAGATTATATTACACATATTGTATTTATATTTATTATTTATTGTTTTATTTATATGATATTGAATGGGTCTATTTGTTAATGTTAAATATGTTTATAAATTAATTTTAAAAAATAATATATATTTTTTTTCAACGATTTTTAGAGTATAGTCTATAAGTATTTTCAGCGTACTATTACGTATTACTTTTTAAATTCCGCTAAGATTAATAGTGCTAAAGGGAGAATCTTACTACCAATATTTTCCTAACCTTTTTTATTTTTTTGTTTTTTTTATAAATATTGTCTAGTAACATATTCTTTAATGTAACATTATATAAATGTATTACCCATTTTTATTAAATGGATTGAATCCCATAAAGGCTTAACAATAAGTTGACTAATTATTTGTTTAATTTTATTGATTTAAACAATAAAAATAGAAGAATTTGAATAATAATTAAAAATTCAACTAATTTATTTTATTATTTATTTCTTTCTTTAATTCTCTATTGTTAAATGTTTAGCATTAAAAAACCGCATAAAAACAACAGCGAAAATAAAAGACGTGATCAAAATTAATGGGGTTATTAGACAAATTAAGAACGTTTTAATAGATGTCGCTCAATACCAAAATGGAAAAACAGTTTATTATGTTAAACATTATATTTCAAAAAAAATATAAACTAAAGTTGAAATATCGATAAAATAAAAATTATTGTTAAATAAATTGTGGTTTCGTTTTCTTAATTTTTATTTTTAACAATTTTTAAAAATATGACCAATTAGCCCCTAAAAATACTTTATTAAAAAAAAATATATAATAAATTTATTATTTAAAAATATTGCAATCTAATTTTGGAATAAGAAGTTGCAATTTAATTTTTGACTGCAATTGAGATCAAAACATTGCAATTAAACTTTATGTTGATTAATTTTAATATTCAATGCATTATTTTATCTAAATTGATATTAGTTAAAATGAAATTAAAATTATCTAAATAAATTATTTCAATTAATTTTATTTATTTTTTTAATTTTTTATTTTTTTTATTGCAATTTAAAAATGATTTCAATTAAACTTTATGTTGGTGAATTTTAATTTTCAATGCATTATTTTATCTATATTTAAATTAGGTAAAATGAAGTTAAAATAATCTAAAAAAATTATTTCAATTAATTTTTTTAATTTTTTATTTTTTTTTTATTGCAATTTAAAAATGATTTCAATTAAACTTTATGTTGGTGAATTTTAATTTTCAATGTATTATTTTATGTAAATTTAAATTAGATAAAATAAAATTTATATTATTTAAATAATATTACTATTAATATTACTATTACTATTTTATCTATTAAATTAGATAAAATTAGGTTAAAATAATCTAAATAAATTATTTCAATTAATTTTTTAATAAATTTTATAATTTTTTTATTACAATTTCAAAATTATTTCAATTAAAATTTATTTTTTTAATTTCTTAAGTTTTTTTATTTCAATTTAAAAATTATTTCAATCAAACTTTTTTATTAAATTAAATTGATAAATTTTAATTTTCAGTGCATTATTTTATTAATAATGATATATTCTGTTATTTTTAATTTAATCGACAATGCGTGAAGAGCATTTTTATTAAAAACCGCCTCTTTAAATTGTGTGAAGTACTAAAATTAAAAAATAAATAAATAATTTTTATCAACAATAACCCCATTGTTATACCTCATTCTCTCTATTAAATATTTTCAACTGTTAATAATATGAGAAGAATTTTAATAAAATGCCAACAACAAAAAGATAATAATTTTTGTTTGACAATTTTTCAACTTTTACTTAAGCATGAAATTTTTTAATTTTTTGTTAATATTTTTTATAATTGTGATTTTTTTTTTTGTTTTTTCTTTAATTAAACAATTTCACACATTTCAGTTTACATTAATTTTTGCTCTTTTTGTAATTCAAAACTTTTGTTTATGTTCTTCATACTCGAAACTTCATTCTTAAAACAAACATTGTCAACAAAATGTTTTCAACCGCGCAGCAAATTTGTGCCATGGAGAGTGAAGCACTGGTTTAGTTTGACTTTGCCGTTACCGGCCTCGACTGACCCATATTTTGACAAGTGTAGGCCGTCCATTGTCATTGTCAAATACAGTGCGGGGAAATACTACACAAAAACAAGTTCCATATTTTTGTGTCCATTATTTTTTTTTAAACTTCAGTCAAAGAATGCCCTGCTCTTCTTTAGTATGTAGTGTGGCCATTAAGCCTCATAGCATTTAA